TTTCTCTGTTGCAACCGCTTCGATGCAATTTAACTGCTGCAACTGTACCGCTGTACCCCACTCACTGCACCTTCACTCCTGTAACTGTTTCTGTTTATTTGGCCTCGTCGGTTGAGAAATAGATACAGCAGATGGCATTTTTCACATCCCAAGTGATAACGAGGGATGTGGGAGGGAGGGAGAGAGGGAGAGAGGGAGAGAGGGAGAGAGGGAGAGAGGGAGAGAGGGAGAGAGGGAGAGAGGGAGAGAGGGAGAGAGGAGAGAGAGAGAGAGAGAGAGAGAGAGAGAGAGAGAGAGAGAGAGAGAGAGAGAGAGAGAGAGAGAGAGAGAGAGAGAGAGAGAGAGAGGGAGAGAGAGAGAGAGAGAGAGAGAGAGAGAGATTTGATTTGATAACATTAATTTATAGACCAGTGTACATGCCCTGCAAGTAGAAAGGGTAAGATACAAAAGCATCTTTCCAACCTGGGTGTGCTTCTATTTGTGCAAAGGGCTATCAGTCAACATGAAGAGCTGTTATCACTGTATTAAAATATCACCTGGCTGGTAAAAAAGACTTTTATATCACTAATCATGTCAAAGACAAGACCAGTGTCTATAATAAAGTTAATATGATCAACAAGTGCCAATCTGTGGACAGTACTGTTTGGTCGATAGGATGCAGTTTTTATGCAACAAAGTAAGTACTGGGTAAGATTATGCGACTTGGGCGCCTTGTACAGTCTGTAGTGGTGATATGAATCTGGTTTTGCCTCCAAAACTGCATCCTGTACATATTGTATAGCGTACTAATATCTTATGCGTAGCCCAGTCAGTGTAACCTGCTGTCTCTGAGACAGTCCATGATAGACTTTATAGGGTTTGTCTATATCTGATGTTCCAGCAATGCCAGATAGTACTATGTCCGTCATTTTTCATCTTTTTAGTGGTCCATACCTGACCCGCACAATCTCGAAAACAGCTGATAGCACTTTTTTTTCATTTGATTGAGAGATAGTGGTACTACGTAAAATGGATATTCATGGGAAAGTGCTAATCTGGCTAATTGATCAACCCTGTCGCATAATGATATTCCTAAATGAGAGGATATTCAATATAATGACACTTGAATACCCTGTTCTGATTATTTAGAAATTTGGTGAAGGATATTCCTAGTTCCCATGTTTTCTGGTATAAATGCAGTGAGCCTATGGAGAACGCCTTGGCTGTCAGTAAAGACAACCAGGTGTCGTTGTTGCTCACTACCTTTCTTAATGGCATGATATATAGCTACTGATTCGGCATCAGTTGTGCTTGTCCAGTTGGAAATGTACACACTTTCTTCAAGATCTATATCAGGAATTAGCACACCAATCCCTGATGTTCCATGAGGATCAATGGAGGCATCACAGTAGATTGCAAGTGGGGGCGTACACTGAGGGAGGGTGTAGAATGCATCTATCTATTTCAAGTAATGAGTTTTAAGTTCGGTTTCGAAGCCATGGATTTAGCCCTATTAGTTTATCAATATGAGCATGTACACGAGTTTTGTGCCAAAGATCAGTATGTACTGTTTCTGGAATATTAATAGCTTCGTTGTGGGACATAATATTATGAGTAGTTCTGGTTTTCCATTCCAAGTGGATTGTATGAGATTGGAGTATCGAGGCCGAGCATGCCTAATTCTTTGGTGGTAATTTGGGCGACATTGTACATAGAGGAGAGGTCTAGCTCTTTCCTCGTGACGAGAACTTTAGCAGTCTTTGGACATCCAAGTATAATTATCATGGCCTTGTTCTGTAAAACTTCAAGGGGTTTGAGGGCACTCGGTGGCAACATACTAAGAATTGGTCTTGCATAATCTATCATGGACCTGACAAGGGAGATATACATTAACCTTTGGACTCTCAGGGAGGCACCTATATATCTGTTACATATGTATTACAATGATCTTAAACGCTGAAGTCAACGTTCCTTGATGTTTTTTTCGACAATATCCTTGGTAAAGCGAGAGTTGTAGTACATAAGGTGGGAAGCAGTCACCATAACACCAAGATATTTATAGGTGTCAGTTCTTGCAATAGTTTGTCCACCTAACCTTGGAATGTAACGTAATTTACGAGATCTGGAAATATGCTTAGTTTTGATTGAGTTGATTATGAGACCAAGGGAGGCACACTTTTTGCTGAACCTCTGTAGAACATAATCCCCCATATCAAATACCTGAATAAGATTGTCATCAGCATAGGATGTGATGCTGCATAGGTTCCCTAATTCAGTGTTGAGCTTACAAAGAGAGTGCATAAGTATATTAAACAGTGTAGGGGGCATTACTCCCCCTTGTGGAGTACCTAATTCTAATTCGCCATAAGCACTGTAGACGCCTTGGTACCATACTCTTGATCTTCTCAAAGATAGATAATCCTTTATCCATAGCTGAAGCTTGCCCTTAACTCCTAAAAGTGTTAGTTCATGGAGGATTGCAATAGGGGAGGCTCTGCCGAATGCTCCCTTGAAATATATGAAATAAGAAGACTGTGCATTACTTCCATTTAGGTACTGTGCTAGACACATTTGTGTTCCTCTCCCTTTTTGAAAGCTTAGGCCCTTAATTGGGACGAATAAACGAGTAAGGAGCATTCTTTTACAGGTTTTAGATAGACAGGGACGTCAGAGAAATTGGTCTACGTTCATCAGGCCGTCCTGCTTTTGGGATGATGGTTGCTTGTTTCCAGGTGGTAGGCAAGATGCCTGCTGTGTAGGTTAAGTTGAAAAGATCAAGAAGAGAATTTTTCCCTTTACCTGTACCTTTGCAAAAGGTCGGATGATGTCGTAAGTGATTTCATCATCCCCAGGTGCAGTGGATTTGCTAATTTAATGGCTGCAAGGAGTTCTTCCCTTGTAAATGGTGCATCAGCCTCATCTAAGAGGTGGCACTGAGAGTCAATTTCGTTTTTATGGCTTAATTTAAGGGGGCACCTGCGTATGGATAATGGCAGAATATCAAGAGAAGAGTCCTCACACCATTTATTGAGGAGAGATGAGACTACCCTTCCTGGATGTGGGTGGGGTGTTAAACTGTATGTGTTGCCTTAATCTTGCTGATTTCCTTTCATACATTATTCATGGGTGCCATGGAGTCGCTTGATTCTGCCCAGGCATTAAATTTTTCCTCCCGTTTTCGAGTTATTATCTCATTAATCTTTTTACTAAAAAAAACAACACAGGATCCCAAGCTAAGTGCGGGTTTTTCCCCAAGTGTTGTAGCTGACTTACTGTAGATCGTATGAGCCTCCTAAGAAGTTTTATCTCAGGGACTTTGTTCAGCTGTTGTGCACGTCTACCTTTAGAGGATAAAGATCCGTGCTTGTTAGAGCTTTTAGCTTGTAGTTGAATAATGATATTGCCAATTTGCTGACAGAGAGTTTCATTAAAGTGATCCAGGCTGGTAGGAGTAAAGTCTTCATACCAGCAGGCAATTCTTTCAATGAATTCACCATGATATTATATATATATATATATATATATATATATATATATATATATATATATATATATATATATATATATATATATATATATATATATATTTATATGTATATATATATATATATATATATATATATATATATATATATATATATATATATATACATATATATATATATATATATATATATATATATATATATATATATATATATATATATATATATATATATATATGTATGTGTATATATATATATATATATATATATATATATATATATATATATATATATATATATATATATTATATATATATATTTATATATATACATATATATATATATATATATATATATATATATATATATATATATATATATATATATATATATATATATATCGAAGTATCGAAGGCATGGCTGGGGTGGGGTTCTTTTGCAAAAAGGAAGGGTTATACATAATGCCCAGTTATCACTAACTAAGAATGGGATGACTTTCGCAGTGCTCGGTAGTGTGCTAATTGTATAGAGCTATATAGTCCAATTTTCCGGCCGGATAATTATTTTTTTCTAAGGGCCATAATAAGTGTATGGGCTCACTAGTATTTTGGAGAAAGTCACAATACACCTTACCTGTTTTGCCAATGGTACTTCCCTTGGAGCCAAGGAGAGGATGGCGAGCATTGAAATCCCCACACAATAAGATAGTATCAGTATGTATCATGCAGTCAGGAGGTTTACGTACCAACTCACTATCATGTGGATTATATATATTAATGATGGTGACAGATTTACCGTCAAGAAATATTTTAATACTAAGATATTCAGCACAGTTGTTGTCACGACTGTCACCAATTACATTCGATGAAATTGAGTTCTTTATGTAAATACCAAGCCCTCCCGTTGAGAGATTAGCAATATTTGGTCTGTCATTGCATGTGTATCCCCCATTTTTTTGCATAACAAGCACATAACGACACACATCAACATTTTCGGAGTGAAGGTACTGGGAAAGAGTTGCCTTGCATTGATTACTTGAGCATTTCCAAGGCCCACTACTGGGTGATGCTGTTGTTGATCGAGGGGGAACGTGGACATCCTTTCCTGAAGTTGAGATTGCTGAATCATGTGTTGTTGCATCATGAACATCATCTGCTCCATCTGCCGAAGTAGCATTTGTAGCAGATCCTTTATATCTCTGTTGGACTCTTGTCTGTCCTGCTGCAGTGAGGGCTGAGCTGATGCTGAAGCTAAGTGCAGCATATGGAACTAGGATTGGTGCTGCAGCTAGTGCTGAAACTGTTGCTGGTGCTTGAGTTGACGGAGCTTTAACTCCTGTTGGTGCTGGTACTGAGGCCGGTGCCATGGCTTCCTTTGCAGGGGCCATCACGGTTGACCTCTGCAGGTGTGGGAATTCCCTCACATCATCGAAGCGCGGGGCTGGGGGGCTCTTGTGGGGTGTGTGAGGGCTACCTGTTTTTTTTTTTTTTTACTATGAGAGAGAGAGAAATCGTAACAATTGTGTGGAATTTGTGATCAGCGCTTCTCGTTGCAATGCAATTAAAAGACACTATTGAACTGGTGTTGTTTATTGCCATAC